ACACATGTGTACATAGGAGCCATAGGAATTATGAACTTAAAGAGAAGCCAGATGATTGAGACTTATGAATCCTCTTTAAGAGAGAAAGGAAAATGAAGAGGCCTATGCTGAAATAAGGCTAGTAAATGATTCTCATTGAGAGTGCAATGTGACAAAATTACACAAAAATGAAGGTCTTATTCTGCAGATAAAATTTCTTAGGTAATCTCTCAGAGCTTGCCCTCAGCAGAATAGAAGAAAATCTGTCTGGGCAGGTGGTGTAACCTTTGATATCTTCTTCTCTCTAGTGGTTAATTATTTCTGGTTATTTAATGAGCTCCCTAAGGAAGGTGTTTATGACAATTTCTATGAGAAGGATGTCTTTGGTCAGATAAGCACATCTCAGAGAAAGCTGCTCCTTGTGTTGGGTATAGGAAAGAAAAGACAAGACCACAGAACCCTGATTTTGGGGCAACCTTTTTTTGTTTCTTTAAAGCGTATTTATTAGATAGAGACAGACAGACACCTGCCCCTAATAGTATCTTCATGATACAATTCACACCCCATCTCTTCCTGCATGTCATTGGCATATGCAAGCCCAGAGCACTCAGAGAGGTCCTAGCAAGTGAACTGAGAACCTTTTCTGTGTATGTCCGGTGGTGGTATCACTGCACCAACACCTGGCCCCGATTCTGGGGCAACTTCTAAGACCTCTCAGAGTGCCAATTCTCTTCTGAACCCCAGCATAGATAAAATCAACACTAAATGATATTTTGTGGGAAACTGCACATCAGCAAGTCCGCCAAGGCCATTTCTTGAGTCTTACACTATCGCCATTTTAAGGAAATCTTTAAGTTTCAATTTCTCAGCGAGCAAACAATTACACAATGCCAAAGGCCATAATTGGCTCCCCTTCAAAACCATACTATCCGGCACCTCATAATTGATCCACAAAGCAATCAATCATAACCCACCTTTTACAATCCTTCATTTAACCAATCACCGCCCACCAACATGTATATAAACACAATCTCTGGCCCACAATAAATGGACTACCCTGAAGAGCTGTAACACTATGTTGTCTCCATGTTGTAATATTGCGCTGCTCATCCCGTCTCTCCCTCCCTCAGGAAACCTGTTCGACTGTCCTGCGGGTTGGGACAGTATTTTTTTGGGAGAGATTGTTGCTATAGGGGATATGCACTAACTGGAGAGACAGAAAGTGAGAAATCATCCCAAGAGAGATAATCACACCACAGACCCTTCTCCTCCATTCTCCTCTTGGGATTTTGGTCCCTCATGTGCACATACCAGGAGTCAGTTTTAAGCCACTAGATTCAGGACTTGAACCACAGATGGCTACATAGGAGTCCAGTGATATAACCACTATGCCATCTGCTGGTCCTTAAATAGGATTTTAATGACCAAGTTCCACCCTCATAACAGATAAGGGAGCTCATCCCAGAATCACAGTTTGTTAACCACTTCCCTGCAGTCAAGCCTGAAATGGCCTCTCTCCTCTTCTACTTCTCTTTCCATAACATGATGCTGCCTATACTTCCCACACAGTGAAAACATCTAGTTCTTCCTCACTCATGAGGGTGGAAGAGAAGAGCTGAGCACCACAAATGCCATACCCTGCAACTGTTACCAGTCCTCAAATAGGTCCCAGAAATGGACTAGTACCATGGCAGAGTAAAGACAGAATGACAGATATTGGAAGTCTGTCCATAATACTATTATCCAAGTACATTCCAAGGGATGAGCCCATAGTGACTGTGAGGTGATCTCAGCCCTAGTGCTACTTAGTTGAGAGCTCAACCTCACAGGCAGGAAAGTAAGTGGACACCTTCATGCAGGATTTCTTTCGGCCCATCTCGCTGATGCTTCAGAGAAAATTCTGTCTCCTCATCTCCCCCTCTGAACTGATGCCATTTACTCTTAGCAAATCATTCTTCTCTGAGTACTTGACATGTGTTATCTAATTCAAACCTCATTGCAACCCTATGACGTAGGCACTGGTTTTATCCCCAGCTCACAGACAAGAAACTAGAGAAGTTAAGCAACTTACCCAAGAAACTAGAGAAGTTAAGCAACCCTGCAGGTTTAGCACTCTATCCAAATCCAGGCAGGCTTTAAAGGCTGTACAAACATTAGCCAGGTGGCCTAGGACAAGTTTCTCAGCCTCTCAGAACTTCAGTTTACGATGTCAATTAGGGATAATGATATCCACCTTGTAGGTATGCCATGCAGATTAGATACAATACATGTAAAGTGCTCACTTAGTACAGAGTCTGTATTGCATCAAATTCTTCATGTAGGGAAGCTATTAGAGTGTCCTCTTCCTGTTGTTCTTATTTACTATATAAAAAATCATGGGAGAAAAAATACTGAGAAGAAATATGAAAAGAAGTCATCCTGAGGGAACTGGGAGGCCACAGGGTTATAAACTCAGTAGGAAACCCCTAAGGACACTGCTCATCACAGTGTGATCCAGGTCTGACCAGCTAATGAGGGACAGGCTATTATCCATGCTATAAAAGTAGACAGAGGATATTTGTGGACAATGGAGATTCTCACTTGACCTGTAATGTCCATTTTTCTCGAATCCTTTTGAGATTCCCAGGGGAAAATTAAGCTCACGTGTCTAGCAATGCAATAGTCAATTTTTTTTGAGAGATTTTGTTGTTGTTGTTGTTATAGGGTGCGTGTGCTCGCCAGAAAGAGAGACAGAAAGTGAGAAATCACCCCCCAGGGGGATGTCCACGCCACAATCCCTTCTCCTCCATTCTCCTCTCGGGATCTTGGGCACTCACATACATGCACCCAACGTGAGTTTAAGCCACCGGGTCCGGGACTCAAACCGCAGTCGACTACACAGGAGTTCGGCTACATAGCCATTATGCTAACTGCTGGTCCCACAATAGTCATTTTTTGAAACAGTTACAGAATACCATTCTCAGCATTTTTCCACATAGGGTCACATCTCATCTTCTCAATGACATCTAACAAAAAAGCATAATTTTGCCTATTTCATAAAGAAGGATACAAACCTAAGTCTTCTTGACTGATATGTAAGTCCATACTCTCAAAATGCTGTATTTAGTACAAAAGGCTGGTTCCAAGTGGAAAAAAATCAAATCAATATACTGTAAGCAAAGGGGAAATTTTACCATGAAAATAGTATTTCACAGAAGCAGAACTAGAAACTATAATATCTATCTCTGTCTCTCTCCATCTTGTGCCTCAGTGTTCACTTTCTCTGTAGAACATTTCCTTATGCTTCTTCAGTCTTCTATTAAAATTAGCCAGTCCATACTTCTGAAATTATCTGCAACTGACCCAGCTTCTCATGAAAGCTTCTTTTCAAGTTCCCAGGAGAAGAATCCTGTTAGTCTGGCTCAAACATGTCATATTTATTCATTTAGGTAAGGATCTTCAATAATTTTCATAAAGTTTCATGCTTGTATCAAGAGCTTGCTTATACATCATAATATTACTCTTGGACAATTTATATACTTATGGGTTACTATAAATGGTATTCTTTAAAAATTCCTTTTAAAAAATCTTGCAACTGGAAAAGAAAATGAGATTTTTTAAAATCAATTTTCTGGTTCCTTTTAAAAAAATCTTGCTACTGGTATAGAAAATGAGATTTTTTAAAATCAATTTTCTGTTGGAATATTCAGTACTTAGTAAATTTAAGTCATGTTTCTGGACATTATTTAAGGTTTTCTATGTGGTTAGCCATAATTGCAGATAAGATACCTCCAAATGACAGTTTATTCCCCTTTGTTTCTGAGTGTTATATTGTATATTTTTTTACTGCATTATATAAGTAAGCTAGAAGGTTTAAAATTATCTAGATGGTTTGTATTTTATTTCAATGGGACAGCAATGGTCTAAAACTCAGACAATATTTAAAGCCTCCACTAGGAGACAGGTCTGGTGTATTTTACTTTAATTAGCTACTCCACATTCTAGATTTACTAATTTATCTGTCTAAATCAATATCTTTAATCTATTAAATATCTTCTCTCTCTCTGTTTTTAACTTCCAGAGAGAAATAGAGAGACAGAGAAAGAGAAAGGGGAAAAACACCCCCCAATTGGGCATAGTCACACTGCAATCCCCTCTCCTCCATCTCTCCATTCTGTCAGGATTTGGACACTCACACACACACATACACACACACACACACACACACACACACCTGGCATGTTTTGTAAGCTGCTGGATCTAGGATTAGGATTCAAATTGCATCGCCATCCATGTGGGACCTGACTCCCTTAACCACCAGGCCACAGGGCCAGCCCAACTATTGAACATCTTTTTTTTTTTTAAGAATTTTAAAATTTTATTTATTTATTATTTCCTCACATGAGTTCACCAGAGAAAGACAGAGAGAGAGCGAGAAGCCACCAGGTCTGGGACTGGAATCGTGGCGGCCCAAGTGGGAAGTCTAGCACCTTAACCACCACACCACGTTCTGACGCACTAGTGAGCATCTTTATCACACATTCCTCAATTAATTATTGGATTAATACAGGCCATGTTTGGTTTGAATTTTCCAAAATAAAAAAAAAAAAATTTCTTGGATATGTTATAGGAAAGCAGTATAGCTATAGAAGATGCTTTTATAATGTTGATTTACCTTGAGTACCAATACTCTTTCTCTAGACCCTGTAATTCTAGGGTGGTTTATATTTACTGTGTATGTATTTGTGCTTAACCAGTACAAACATTAGATGATACTTGATAAAAAGCCCTTTCAAAAAGATTAAAAGAAGCTATATGTATTTTTATAATATATTTTATTTAACCCAATATCAGAAATATTATTATTTCAACATGTAATCAGTATCAAATACTATTGAGACATTTTACATTTTTCATACTAAGTTTTCAAAATTCTAAGTGTATTTTATATCTTAATTTCAATTTTTTTGAAATGTCTGATCTATATTTAAATTTTATAAACTATACAGTTGAAAAAGTAGACCTATAATCCCATGTTCTGTTATCGTGCAGTATTTCTCATTAGTTTACATGGGATGAGATTGATTTGTGCCAGGGTTGCCAGTTATTTCTCATGGAGCAGGCTTATGCTCACAGTGTTCTTCCTGTGTAGAAATTATCATGATACACATGTCCATGCTGGGATTATGGGCCTCTACTCACAAAGGAAAAAAGAGCTGGAAATTGGGAGATATATTCCTTCCCCTCTTTGTTTGGTCATGTAACAACATTTTTTTTTTCATAGATTGAATGAACAGGTTATGTTGGAGATTTTTTTCTTAACTGAAAAAATCGAATTTCCTAAGAACTCTTTCTTTGACCCCTGAAATTCTATATTTGTGTATGGGAGTGGGGGCGGTGAGGTCAGGCCATGCTGACAGTGTAAATCGATGACAAAATGCAGGCAGCTGACATTTGTCTCTGGCTGGTCACTCTTGTGTATAGCAGGTTTTAGCAAAGTCAACAGCAAGACTTTTAAATTAAAGGACAGGTCATGAACTTCTGGCAGAAGCAGACTGGGTAGGACTATGATTAAAATCATGTAAAAGTTTTTATATCTAACAGCCTCTACTCTGGCACCAGGAAAGGTCCCCTGTGAGAAAGCACAGTTTTGAATCCCTCCGACTCTGTGTTCTCACGCTCTCCTTTGTTTGGTGTAGATGAGCCTGGCAAGGCCTCGACTTTTCTTCATCTTTTTATTTGTATTTTGATTCGGTGAAGGAAGAGACAGCTCTAGCTCCCTTTTCTTGGCATCCCAGTCTCCGTCTCGTTCATCCAGTGGCAGCCCCTTCTGCCGGGCAGCGAGGCGGTGGTCCAGGCACTCAGGCTCTGCCCTGGAAAGAGGACAGCATGAATTCTGGAGGTCCAGAACTTGGAAGTCTGTCTGGCTTCAGAACTCACCTCTCTTCAGCCCTCTACCCACAGCATGGACCATGCAGCTGTTAACTCCAGAAGGAAGAAGGCCAAGTTTGAGGCTTCACTTAAGGAGGGCTCAGACACTGAAGAAACTACTTAGAGGGGGAGAATAATGATGAGAGGTCAATAGACAGTCACTTGTAGTAGGTGCTGCTAATTCTTCAAGCGCTCACATTTGTACAGCACCCTGCACATTACTGGGAGGCAATTTTCCTTCATTTATTTCTAATTATATTTTTTCTCTAATTGTAAAAGCAGTATGTGTTCATCATATGCCATTTTAAAATACAGTAATATGTAAGGAAGAAAATAAAAGTCATTCATCAAATACGTAATGTGTGTATAGATGGATTATGTAAAAGGGATAGTTGCAGATGAGGAGATGGAAAGATAGGTAGACAGACAGATCATGAAACACAATTTTATAGGCAATGCTAAAGATGACTTGCTTAAAGGCAGTGGTGAAAGTTGCTTCTCAGCGATAAAATTCAAACCAATATGAGGACAAGTGGAGTTTGAGATGACAGGCAAAGTTAACAGTATTTCAAATGCAGATCACGATAAAAAGAACAGTTCATTTAGAGGACAGCAAATCGGCAAGTCTCTCACTCCCTCTCAGCCCCAGCAAGCTTTCAATCTTCTGACCACCGTTCCTCTGCCTTGACACTGTATTTTGTAGTAATGGTATCTATGTAACTAAGTTATCTCCTCTTCTAGACTGAGACATTCTTGATGTCTTGCACTGTATCTGATTTCTCTTTACGTAATTTTTAGTGTCTAGATCAATGCCATGCACATAGTAGGGCTCAAAAATATTTGTTGGATGAGTAGTTTACTCCTCAGAGAGGCTGAGTCAAAGGTGAATTGTCCTACAAGGATTCCTAGTAAATTGAGAAAATGATTAAATACTGTCTAGACTACCTTTGAAATGTTATGACCTTTTTTATTTTCAGTTGTGCTATCCTAGGTGCTCACCTCCACACAATGTGAATTATTAAGAAATTCCTTAAGTGATCCCCTGGCCTAGAGGCTAAATGACTCCAATCCTGCCTGTACTGCACCACCGTCATCTCCCCTTCTACACCAGAAACTTTGCTAACACTTCTCTTTGTCTTATACATCCCCTGATGAGTCCACAGTCATCTGCTTTCCCAGCTGATTATGGTCACCCACTACTGACTGACCTTTCCCTCCATTTCTCCTAAGTAGTGAGAATGCTGCACTTCGCCAGGCCACTTAACCCTCCACGCTTCCTCCTCCCCTTCACATAAACATACAGCCTATCCACATTTCCTATGTGGTGACTTTCTATCAACAGCAGTCCTCCCTCCTCCATTAACCAAGTCTTAGCTATCGTTCAAGGTCCCAAACAATCCTGCCTTAATCCTGCGTTCTTTCTTCCTAAGCTGTAGAACTGTCAGAGGGAAGTTGCTGCTGGGAAATGTTGATACACAGAAGTGACTCACACACGATGTGGCTGACCTTTGCAGTTTGCATCTGCTCAACGCTTTTCCCGCTGATAGCACTAACCACTGTTTGGGGGGTTCCACTCCTCCTCCACCTCGGTTAAACCAGACTCATGCATCACGTTCACTGATCCACCAGTCACTGAGAAAAAAGCTAGCTCTCTCAGAGGCAGTTGGTAAAGGACCACCAGAGATAGGACCCTGAGGAATTTCCTCATTTAAAAGGCATGCCAGTATGAACTGGTAGATATAGACTTACAAAAAGTGTATAAAAATCATGAGACATGCTCAGAGAGGTAAAAAGAAAACCAGAAAAGAGCATCAACTAAAGCAAGGGAGTTTAAGAACAAGTGCCAAGTTGAGTGGAGGTAAGATGTGAAGTGAGAAGAGGCCATCAGCTTAGCAGTAGGAGCTCCCCGATAATGAGGGTGAGCATCAACTCAAGTGCAAGAATGGGAGAAGAAATTTGAAGAGTGGGCGAAGGGTGAGGAAGTAGAGACAATTGCATAGATCAACTTTCAAGTAGTTCAGAAGAGTAGGGAAGAAGAAAGGCAGCAGAAGTTAGAGGGGCCTCTAACTTTTGTTTAGTTAAGATCTGTTTGAACATGTTCATAGTTCAAAAAAAAAAGTCAAAGGATGCAATAGAGAAAAGTGAAAATACAGGAGAATGAGTAAAGAGATAACAATACAGAGATGATGGTTTTGCCGAAGACATGAAGAATTGGACTGGGAACCAGCAGTTAGCGTAATGGCTATGTCGCTGGACTTCCATGTAGTCGACCGCGGTTCGTGTCCCGGACCCCGGTGGCTTAAAACTCACGCCGGGCGCGTGTGCGTGCGTGCCCAAGATCCCGAGAGGAGAATGGAGGAGAAGGGATTGCAGCGTGACCATCCCTCCTGGGGGGTGATTTCTCGCTTTCTGTCTCTATGTCTCTCTCTGTCTGTCTGGCGAGCGCACGCGCCCTACAGTGAAAATCTCTCAAAAAAAAAAAAAATAAGAATTGGACTGAGGGTCTGTATGGAGGGACAGCATCACAGAAGAAGGAATAGGAAGGCAAGAGGACACCGATTGTGGGTGTATAAAATATGTAGAGTCTGCAGGGGCACAGTGGCAATGCAACTAGACCCACAAGGGAAAGGTCTTGGGTTTGCAACACAGGATCTCCTTGTGTGTGCTGTGCACATGTGTGTATGCCTGAGTCCATGGACCTGGCCAGCTGAGGCCAGGGGTGGATCATGGTATGAGAATCCTGTTGGGAATACAGGAGATATTTTATATATAAGTATATATATAAAATATTAAATATATATATATATAATTATGGAGGAAACAAATGTATAAGCTTAAAAAATGTAAGTATAGGGTTTAAGAAGTGTGTATCCCAAGGCTTTAATATTCTCTCTGAAGCAGAATAATGTACCCTCTAAGAGATGGGGTAAAGTGTGATGGGACTTGGTAATGAATGAGCAGAACAGGAATAGAGAGCTAAGCTGCTCTGAGGGTGTAGCTAAAAGTAGAAATCTTAAAACATCTTGGGCTGGCTCTGTGGCATTGTGGTTAGGGTATTCAGATCCGACATAGTCATTCAATCCTAAGGTTTGAGTCTCAGACCCAGTGGCTTGAGAATGGTTGGGAATTCTGTTAAATCCCACATAGGCAATGTGCATGGTTGGGAATTCGATGTTAAATACCATATAAGCAAAAGGGAGGTTGGGGAGTTAAGAATAGTGAGAAGAGGGTGCATGTACGTGTGTATGCCCAAATTTCTGAAAGGAGTAAGAGATGAAAAAGAAGGTATTGTGGCATGACCATCCCCTTTGTGTGTGTGTGTGTGTGTGTGTGTGAGGTGGGGGTGGTTACTTTCTACTCATCTCTCTCTGGTGAGCATATGCACCCTATAGCAAAGGAAGAAAAGACATACAAACACAAAAAAGCATTTGGTGATACCCATCCATTTATTTGTGGAATTTTCTCTAGCCAACTAATCATAAAAGGCAAAGGAAGAAAAGGCATACAAACACACAAAAAAGCATTTGGTGATACCCATCCATTTATTTGTGGAATTTTCTCTAGCCAACTAATCATAAAAGAGAAAATAGAGACTCACCCGTGGTTGGGAATTCTATGTTAAATCCCACATAAGCAAAAGGGAGGTTGGCGAGTTAAGAATAGTGAGAAGAAGGTGAGAGAAGTAGTGGATCACTGTGTCCAGAGGGGAGGAAAAATAGTGAAAACTTCAGGCAAGTAGGAGAGAAAGAAAAACTTGAATATTAAGAAGTTTTGATGAATCTGACACTTGTGTAATAATGCAGGAAATGGTAAATTGATGGAGCTCTGATCACGTAGCGGGACGTTAGAGTTTTTAAAAAAATTCAGAGGAAAATAGCTGCTGATGCTAAGGTCTGGAATGGATGGTGGTCACTGAATGGAGGCAACGATGTCATAAATTGGGGAGAAGAGGGTCTGTGAGGCAGGGCACAAGGTTCTGCCTCTGTTCTCAAATCACTCAGCTATGATTCTGAACTATTTTAATGTGATGTACCACCTTTAAGAGAGAGTTTCTTGAGTTCTATTTCTCTTGAGTCACTTCCACCTTTAAAAGAGGATTTCTTGAATTACCCTCTGTTTATCAAGGATTTAGTGCCCAGTCTTCACACCACGAACCTTGCCCGGCTCAGGTCCCTGAGCCTCCAATAGTCCTGTACTCTACTTCCTCCAGTATACTTGTACAGCAGCTAACTTCATCATAGGCAAGGATTTTATTTGGTTACTTTCTGAAGATAACTATTTTTAAGTTTTCAAGAGAGCATTTCATAGTCACCATGAACCACTCCTTCAGATAGATTTGCTACATCAATCATTTGGGGCACCAGCAGATTATGTAATGGTTATATCACTGGACTCTCAGGTAGTTGACCATGGTTTGAGTACCAGACCTGGTGGTTTAAAACTCACACCAGGCATGTGTGCATGCAAGCCCCAAATCTCGAGAGGAGACTGGAAGAGATTGTGGCATAGCCATTCTCCTGGGGGGTGATTTCTCACTTTCTGGCTCTCTGGAGAGTACACATACTCTGTAGCAAAAATCTTTCTCAAATAAAAAAAAAATCATTTTGGTTTCCAAGTAATGCCCTTATTTTATTGCTTTACTTTTTCTTGTATTTATTACTTGCTATTGACCCAATCAAGTTATAAACTCTTAAATTTTATTTCTATCCTTCTTAGAGCTATAAGTGTTATGTACATAAGTGGTATTTAATTATGTTTGAATACTTGTTTCAACGAAAATAATGAACAAATGCTAGACAAATTTTTTGGTGTGTGTGTGTGTGTGTGTGTGTTTTTGAAGAATTTATAGATGAATATAAAAGTATTAAAGATAGAAGGGTCTTAAAAAATAGAGCAAATCTAATTCACTTGCCTCATTTTAAATATAAAGAAACGAGGATCAAGAAGGTAATTTAATTTTCACAAGTTCACACAGCTAGTTTGAATCCTTTCAGAAAGCTGAAAGGGGTTCCCCTGATACATCTTGTATCATATCCAATCCTCAAATTCAGTGTCCCAAATTTCTTATCTGAGATCACTTTTGTATAATTTAAAATAATAGGTCATTATAGTTTTCACCTCAAAGTAGCTATTTCAGTGAAAATTTAATACGAATAAATCATTTAAAAGGTTAATGAAAACAATAGTCAATTGATTGGATTTCCTCATTTCTTTTCTTTCTCTTTTTTTTTTTTTAAATGATAAGAGTGGATGTGTGCATGACTAAGAGAGAAACACACAGAGAGAGGCACCTTCCACAGGACTTGGCGGCTTCATGATGCCCTCCCTTCAGTCCTTCAGTCCTGCTAAGATTCTGGGTACCACTCAGTCTATTTTAAGGCCCACTAGTGGTACCAGCAGTTAGCGTAATGGCTTTGTCACTGGACTCCCATGTAGTCAACAGCAGTCCGAGTCCCACACTTGGTGGCTTAAACTCAAATCAGGTACACCCAAGATCCAGAGAGGAGAATGGAGGAGAGGGGATTGCAGTGTGGCCATCGCCCCCCCCCCCGGGGGGGGATTTTTGCTTTCTATCTCTCTGTCTCTCTCTGTTTTTCTGGAGAGGCTTTTTACTATAGGGCGTGTGCGAGCCCCCGGGTCCAGGACGCGAACCGTGGTCGACTACGTGGGAGTCCAGTGACATAGCTGCTGGTTCCCTCTCTCTGTTTTTCTGGAGAGTGCACGTGCCATATAGCAAAAACCTCTCAAAAAAGAAAAGGGAACCAGCAGTTGGCGTAATGGCTATGTCACTGGACTCCCACGTAGTCGACCACAGTTCGCGTCCCAGACAAAACTCATGCCGGGTGCGTGTGCGTGCGTGCCCAGGATCCCGAGAGGAGAATGGAGGAGAAGGGATTGCAGCGTGACCATCCCCCCGGGGGGTGATTTCTTGCTTTCTGTCTCTATGTCTCTCTCTGTCTGTCTGGCGAGCACACGCACCCTATAGCAAAAACCTCTCCCCCCACCCCCCAAAAAAGCCCACTGGTTGGGGAGTGAGTTATTAGGGACTTGAACTGGTTGGCATGTGGCTTCCAGCACCATAGTTGAGCATGCTACCAGCTGTGCCACAGAGGCTGGGCCCCTCATTTCATTTTCATTGACCTGAGACCAAGGAGTTGGCAAGGACTCCATCACAGGCTCCTGTTCCTCTTTCTCTTCCACAACTGGAAAAAAGTGAAGCTTACTTCTCCAGGAACGCCACACAGGCTTTCTGCCCATAGATCTGTGCAATCCTCTTTGGCGTGTCTCCGAAAAAGTCAGGGGCATCAATGGCGGCATGCAGCGCGTGGAGAGTTTTGAGTACGTTCAGATGGCCTGACTCAGCTGCAAAATGAGCTGGGGTCCAACCCACATCGGTCACCAGGCAGGGTCTGGCTCCATATTCTATCAGGAGGTGCAGAACCTCCATTTGCCCTTAGATGAAGCAGAAAGAAACAGGACAAGGTCAGGATAAAAATGTCCCCAGTGGCTTAAGGCCAGGACCAAAAGAGAAAATGGACCAAAACCACAAGAGGGGAAGAAACTCGCCTTTGAGATGTCGCCCGTTTCCTATCGTCATTCCTTCTGCTCTTCTCCCTCTACTTACCAGGAATTTAATACTCAGTCCTCACTCCACGAACCTTGTCCTGCTCAGGGATCTGAGCCTTCTAGTATTCCATGTAGTTCTTCCAGGATACTCTCCTCCCCTGTCCATTACCCCAGGCATTGCCCAGGAATCTCATTTTCTCTCCCAAGTCACACTATCCCTGCCTATGGTAGCATGGATGAGGCTCACTCTGCTTTCAGCAGGCTCAATGATGATTTCATAAACAATTATTTTAGGTCTCACATTATAGCTGACGGGTTAATAGTACAGGCTTGTTAATCAGGTAAATGTAGGCTCATATCCTGACAAGACTATTGGCTAACAAGTGGCACCTTGGACAAGAAATAAATGTTTGGGGCTTAGTTTCCTTATTCATAAATGAAGGATGTTATTGCTTATCACTGAATCCTGTGGCATGAGAGTGAGATCACAGGTATAAAGTACCCAGCATAGGGTACGCAAATGCTCACTAATGGGTACTTGCGTATCATTCCCATCACTTCGTACTTGCAGTTCTGTAAAAATATCCAACTAATTTTTGCAGCCTGTCTTTCTTCCTGTTGTCCACTCTCTACACAGGAGTCAAAATGAATTTTTACAAATCAGTATTGACTGAGACCAGCAGATGGTGTAATGGTTATGTCACTGGACTCCCATACAGTCAACCACGGTTTGAGTCCCAGACCAAGCAGCTTAACAATCACGCTGGGCGCGTGTGCATGCATGCTCAAGACCCTGAGAGGAGAATAGAGGAGAAAGGATTGTGAATTGGCCATCCCTCCAAGGGATGATTTCTCACTTTCTGTCTCTCTCTCTCTGTCTCTCCAGTGAGCACATATGCCCTATTGCAAAAATCTCTCTTTAAAAAAATAAAAGCTATATTCACTATGGTACTTTTTATTTAATTGCTTGAGAGTATGTGTGTGTGTGTGTGTGTGTGTGTGTGTGTGTGTGAAAGAGATAGCACTCCCCAATGGGGTGTGTTCATGCTGCAATCCCCTCTCTTTCATTTCTCCACCCTACCTGGATTTGGGGCATGCACGCACATGCGCTGGCAAGTTTGTCAAGCATCCTGGGCCAGGTAACAAACTGTGGTCCACTATGTGGGATCCGACTCCCTGAGTCACTAGGCTGTGGGCCTGACTCACCTATACCACGTTGTTACTTAATGTTCTTCAGTGATGGGGACCAGCAGTTAGCGTAATGGCTATGTCGCTGAACTCCCATGTAGCTGACCGCGGTTTGAGTCCCAGATCCGGTGACTTAAAACTAAAGCCAGGCGCGTGTGTGTGCGTGCCCAAGATCCCGAGAAGAGGATGGAGGGGAAGGGATTGCAGCGTAGCCATTCCCCCTGGAGGGTGATTTCTCATTTTCTATCTCTCTGTCTTTCTCTGTCTTTCTGATGAATGCACACACCCTATCACAAAAACCTCTCAAACAAAAAAAAAAATGTTCTTCAGTGATGTTCTGTTGTCAAAGCCCCTGATATGCCCATTGGTTGAGTTTTTGCCACTCTTCTCCAATTCTATAATTGAACTGTGTTAGGCATGGGGGATACAGTGATAAATGAGATCAAGTCTCTATTATTTTCTATGATGCACCCTTCCTATTGAGAAGAGAGAGGGCAGAGGACTAATATTAGTTGAGAGCTGATTATATGCCAGGACTGTAAATGCGTTATCTTACTGAGTTCTCATCACAGGATTCCAACGTAATGTTACTGCCCCATTGCATAGATGAATAAACTAAGGGCTAGTTACGTTGAATAATATACTTGAAATGTTGCAACTAATAATCAGTGGTGTCAGGATTGCAATGGTCCATCTGATTCCAGAGAGATGTCCTTCCCACTCTCCACACAGACTACTGATGGACATCCTTACAAATGGTGGACGCAGAAAGATGGACCTACCTAGGCACTGCCCACTTACCTTTGATTGCAGCCCAGTGAAGTGGGGTCCGGTCATTCCAGTCCACATCCTTGTAGTTTGGGTCACAGAGACCTTTCTTCAAAAGCTTTTTCACTAAGTTGTAGTCCCCTGTAGCCACAGCTTGGTGGAGCTTCGTCAGGTCTGACATTTTGGTAAATTCCATAATGGAATGCAACTTCGGGAGAAATGTGCCATTTAGGAAATGCTATGTGACTTCTGTAGCACTGTCCTTCTGCCTCATCAGTTTGCGGCGAGCATTGCCTCTTGTGTGTACTGTGCCAGAGGGCATGTGTACTCTCCAGGAAGAGAGAAAGAGAGAGAAAGCACTCCCCAATGGGATGTGGTCACACTATCCTCTTTTTTCCCGCCATCATCCATTCAGAATTTGGAGCACACACACATATGCACACATGTAAACACACACACACACACACAAGCACATGCAAACATATGTCCACTATGCTTTTCAAGCCACAGGGACTGGGATTTGAATCACAGTCAATCACAGGAGATTGGGTTCCATATGCACAGAACCTATCGGTTGCACTATAGAATCAGCCCTCAATTGTAATTTCTAACAGTAAATATTTAAAGCTATAATTCACATAAGGAAAGCTCTTTGGGGTTCTCAGTAATTTTGAAGAATGTAAAGTCCTGGAACCAGCAGATGGCATAATGGTTACATCATTGGACTCCATATAGTTGACTGCAGTTCAAGTCCAGGAACGGTGGCGTAAAACTCATGCCAGGAATGTGTGCATATATGCCCAAAATCCCGAGAGGAGAATAGAGGAAAAGGGATTGCGATATGGCCATCCCTCTGGGGGCTGTATGATTTTCCACTTTCTGTCTCTCTGCCAAGTGCATGACAAAAAAACAATCTCTCTCTCTAGAAACAAAACAAAACAAAACAAAACAATTAAAGTCCAGAAGTTGCTGATATCAACAATTAGGGAACTGAGACAAAAAAAAAAAAAAAAAAAAGAGGGAAGAGAGACATT